GCCCTCGCCCTGCCTCTCCCTGGGCTGGGCCCAGCCCGCACTCAGCCTTGTTCCCCACGGCCCGCAGCCCCCGTCCGATGGAGCCGGTGTGAGGTGGCACCTGGGCACAGCCAGGCAGGGGCTGTGGCACTCAATGGGCCAAGGCCGAGGCAGGAAAGACCCTGTGAAACCAAAGGGCACACAATTGCTCCGAGGACACTGCCATGGGCGACAGGGTCCGGGAGCCAGGCTGGGCCCCTGGGGCTGGCTGTGGGCAGAGAGGTGCTGCTATAGCTCTGGGTGTCTGAGGTGGAGGGCTGGGCTAGGCTCCAGGAACACAGACTCTGCAGCCACCCTCACATCACCAGGGATAAAGGAGGGGTTCCCCTCCACCACTCTAAGCCTGGGTCAGACCCTGCTCCCCCCACCCCTGCTTACACCAGCCAGATAGGTCAGGGCTGTGGGGAAATCCCCCTGTGCATGTGGGAGCACCAAACCTACATCTCCCTTCCCTCCCCAAGGGACTGGGTGGGGTGGAAGGGTGGCCCTATGCGCAGGGCACTACTACAGGAAACCTGCCTTTGATTCGCTTCCCTGACACAGGCTCCCTGCATAACCATGGGCCCGTCACTTAGCTTCAGGGGGCATACCCCACCCTCTCCTGGCTTTAGGGACGTGAGCCCCACCCTACCTCTCAGGGGGCTGTGAGGAGAAATACATTAGTGACTGGGATGTGACGAGGCCTTCCCCGAGACGCACCCAGTGCAGCTCAGAGCCCAGATGGCTGAGGCCAGCCTGAAAGTGTCTTATCTGATGCAAATCCCTGCCTTGGTCTAGGCTGCAAAATGGTGTGCTCTGCTTGGGTGCACTAGTACCCCGTGCAGCATGACAGGCATGCTCTGCTTGGGTGCACTAGTACCCTGTGCAGCACAACAGGCGTGCTCTGCTTGGGTGCACTAGTACCCTGTGCAGCACGACAGGCATGCTCTGCCTGGGTGCACTAGTGCCCTGTGCAGCAGGGCAGGCGTGTTTCTCCCAGGTGCACCTGGTGCTGCTGGCCCAGCTATGGGCTAGACTGCAGGGTTTATGTGCAGCTGAATACTGGTGTCGGGAGGGGGAGGGTGTCCTCCCTGACCTGTGCCATTCCTGGGCTGTGCTTTTCAGTACCCACCCCCTGCTCCAAGGGACAGTGTCACCTGGGCCAGGAGGCTGTGATGGGTGCATGCCAAAGTCGACAATAAATCAGAAGCAAAGCCAGGAATGGAATCTGGGAGTCTTGGGGGCAGCTGCCTCCTCTACCCATTGGCTGGGCATTTTCACCAGTGCAAGCTGCTGTAACTGCTGTCACACCAGCATGGTGGCACTGGTGCAAACGGCAGCACGATGGTGACTTAGCACCCAAGGACTCTCAGCAGGGGTAACTGAGCCCAGTGCCAGCCCACAGAGTAACTCACACCCGCTGGGGATCAAGCCCGTTATTCTCCGATCCAGACGCTGGACACGGGCAAGCTCTCTTCTGCTCTGCAGGGCCTTGCGCTGGCGCGTGCTTCGTCTCCGCATTGGCTGGATATTTTCACCAGTGCAAGCTGCTGTAACTGCTGTCACACCAGCATGGTGGCACTGGTGCAAACGGCAGCACGATGGTGACTTAGCACCCAAAGAGTCTCAGCAGGGGTAACTGAGCCCAGTGCCAGCCCACAGAGTAACTCACACCCGCTGGGGATCAAGCCCGTTATTCTCCGATCCAGACGCTGGACACGGGCAAGCTCTCTTCTGCTCTGCAGGGCCTTGCGCTGAACAGTCCTGGCCAGAATGGCTGGGAGCTCCTGGCACCACTGTGAGGCCAGCACTGAGCCCTTGGGACAGGAGGAAAGTGAGGGAGGGGGGATGGGAATCCTCCCTCATGGGTCTCCCCATCTGCACACAGCCCATGGGCACAAGTGAAGGTCAACTGGGGAAGGCAAGTCCTAACCCCGCCCCTTCTATCCGAGGCCCACCCTGGAGCCAAGCCCCGCCCTTCCCACCCCGATGCTATGCTGTGCCCCTGCCCCAGCCCTCCCTGATGGCCAGGAGAGCTGAGTTGCTGCTCCGAGGCCTCAGTCCTCCCCGGTGTGTAGGAAATTTGGGGAAGTCCCTCGCCTCCACGACTGACTGCCCAGGCGTGCACCGGTGGGAGAGTGAGGAGCACAGGTTTGTTCACGTGGGAGCCAGGCTGCCGGCTGAGATAAAGGGCCTTGAGGACGACAGCCGTGGAGCCTAGGCTGGGGGAGGAACTTGGCGGCAAGGAACCACTGAGGCTGATGGTGTCCTGCCCGGCTCTCACCCTGGCCCCTGGGCTGTAGCCTGGTGCTGCCTTTAGAGACAGAACCAAACATCCCCACCTGGCCCCAGGAAGGAACCCAAAGGCAAACCCTGCGCTGGGGTAAAGGCAGGAATTGGCGGTGGGTGTGTCCTGAGGAGCTGCCTCTTGCCGCTCCGGGACATGGTAGGCAGCTAGTGGGGGACTGGCAGAAGAGCACTATGGCTCTGCCCTCTGGGGCATTCTCTGAGCCAGGCCCCTGCCTCTTCCTTGTCCTCTCCTCACCCTGCTGAAAGGAAGATGGGACCTGTGCAGCTAATGATGGTGAAAGAAATGAGGTCATAGGGTCTGAAATTGATCTGTGGAACTCACTGCTCCATGAACTGGCTAGCAAGACGTGCTCTGCTGCTAGAACCTCACCAGGCACTGCCGTGACTAGGGCTGATGGGCCATTGGGCTAATCAGAGAGCAAACGTCATGCTCCAGGGTGTGGCTGATCACTCTGGGGTCAGGAAGGAGTCTTCCGTTCACCGAGTGCAGGACGGCCCAAAGGGCCCAGGACATTATGGGCTGTTCCAGCTTTAAAGCATCCAGCACTGGGCTCCTGCCGGAAGTGAGCTATGTGTGTGGATGAATCAGTGGTTGGATTCGGGCAGCAGCTGGATCAAGGGCTAGCTGGACCCAGGCTCTGGTTCCATAGCAGATAGAAACCTGGCTCCCCCCAGGAACATTTTAGAGCTTTCTCGATTCCCAGCGGAAGCACTGGCTGTAGATTCGTGTATTACTTGTAATATCCGACGAAACTAAGGAGCTGCAGCCATACAGCAGGAGGCAGGAGTGGGTAATAGAACGGTGGCAGTTCACCAGGTTTAGTCCCTGGTGGGCTGCTGATGCTACATTTACCTCTGCAGGTACAGGCGATCACAGCTCCCATTGGGCGGGAAGAGCGATCAGCGGCCAACGGGAGTTGCAAGCCCCTGTACCTGAGACCGTGCATCCGGGCTGTGGGGGGCCATGAGGGGCTAATCCTGGTGGACAGGATCCAGCCTGCGGGATGGTATTTGCTCACCCCTGGGCTAGGTGCACCAATGACCTGACCTGATATGGCAGAAGAGACAGCAGCTCCTACGCTCTGATAACTACAGGCTAATTCTGGGCTATGTCACCACTGAGGCTACAGCCAGATTGTTAAAGGGATTTAGGAGACTCCTGTGATTTTTAAAGCTCCCACTAGGCACCTAAATGCCTTTGCCAGCCCGGTCCTAAGAGCGTGTTACAGCCGGGATGTGTCATCCCCCCAGAGAGACACGGCATCTGCTACCAGCTTCCAATAAAGAGAAACATGCCTGGATGGGACAACAGCTCCACCCAGCCCCAGCCCGGGGGCTCTAGGAGAAGGCCAGGGAAGTAGCTGCCCACAGCAGCCAACGCTCTGAGTAGCTGGATCCTGTCTCTGCCCCGTAGGGTGAGAGGGAGGTTGGTGGGAAATGCAGGGCCAGGAGTCAAGGGCTCTCTCCCCCGGGATCTCATGGCATGAAACGCACCACAGGATCCACCCATGCCAGTGGGCGCTGATACCCCAGCCAGAGCCGGGTTCTTGCCCCAGACCCCAGCTGGGGATGGGAGAGACATTTCCCGGGGGCGGCGCAGGATCCTTCCCTCCTGTCTGCCCAAGGACTGCAGGGCTCTCCAGATGGAAGGGCACCCTACCAGCTCAAACACAGAGGCACAGCCCTAGGGCTTCAAACAATCCCTGACATCGTCCTGCCCAGCCCCAACTCTGGCTCGTGTGACACCAGAGACCTGCAAAATGTCTCTGCCCAGCCAGACCTTCCCCACTAGCATCACCCCCTCTCTCCAGCTCCCCCGCCTGCACCTTCCTTCCAGGGCGGCCGGGTCCCCGGCACCGCGGAGGAGAGGCCCAGAGCTTCATGCCCCCGGGCTCCATTCCTGTGGCCTGGGGAAAACGTTGACAGAAAGTGCCGGGGAAACATGCTCCTGGAGCAGCAGGAACCTGCCTGGGGAGGGAGCAGGGGCAGACTCAGCTCTCCTGCAGCAGAGCGCCTGGCCCTGGGACGCTGCAGGTGGGGCTGCTCCACCACAGCCTCTCCTCCTCTGCCTCCCTCTCCCAGCCCCCCAGGATGCACACTTCACGGCCCTGCTCCCACTCTGTGCTGCCCCCCCTCCCACACCCCAGGAGAAGCCTCTTACCCAGTGCAGAGAACAGGGCAGCAACCAGCAGGAGGCTCCCGCTCCCCGAAGCGCCCTGGGACCACATGGCTTCCAGTTACGGTACGACTCCTAGAGGCATGGGCGAGCCAGCGGTGGGGCGGAGAGTTCCTCGCCGAAGGATGGCTGGCGAGCGGCCCTGGGGCTTAAGCAAACGGCCGGGCCAATGGGAGCCTGGCATCCGGGGCAGTGGGGGAAAGGGAGAGCGAGAGGAACAACACTGAAAGGGGCATTTTGTTTGGTGTTTGCGCGAGTGGTAAACATGCCGCGGGCACACAGCCACCTTTGTCCGGCAGCATTCTCTGCGGCCGCGTAGGGGCCCCCGCGGCCCCCGGGAGGAATGCGCTGTGAGCCAGAGGGCAGGAGCAGGGCTGTCGGACAGACAGAGCTCAGTCCCTGACAAAGCCGGGCCCCAAGCGAGGAGCCCTGGGGTAAATCACCTGCTCGGCTCTATTGTCAGCCTTGCGCCGCTCCACTCCTCATCTCCACTGCACCCATGCAAGGCTGACATGCAGCACACACATGGTACACCCCCCCTCCCCCAGCTTTTCCAGGGGGCTTCCCCTCTCGGGGGTGAGTGACAACCCCCCCCCACTACAAAGTGCTGAAAAGACAAACTAGCAGCCACTCTGACCTCCCCTTTACAGACTTTACACTGGGCATGAGCCCTGAGCTGGCAGGGAAGCCAGGCCCTGGTTGCACTGCCTGGGAGTTCATGCTCTGGCACCCTGCCCCTGGCACGTCCCCCAGATCCCTAGTGCTACGGGGTCCCTCCCTGGGATGTGGCTCCCGTGTGGATGACGGTCCCATGGGTGGTGCAAGAGCCTTGCTATCGCCCTGCAGAGGGACAGACACCAGACTCCTAAATATCACACACACACCAAGGGCAGCGCCCCGCCACCTGGCTCTGTGCATGGGGCTTTGCTCCATGGAGTGGAAGGAAACTTTCCTTCAGCTGAGCAATCAGGCCTGATCCTCCGGAGCCAGAGCTGCACACCCCAAAGCTGGCCCCTGGCCCCCCTCACGTCAAACAGGGACTTCACAGCTCACTGTGTGCAAGGGGACAATTGTGTGCCAGTTGTGCGGGTGTGAGGAGGTGAGGGAAAAGCCATTGCCTCCTGGCAAACCCCCTAAGGCAGCCAGCACCCATCTCTGAGGGGGGGGCAGGACTGTGGGCTGGGAGAAGGCCGTTTGTTACTGTGGGTAGTTGGGTTCCCTGGCAGCCAAATTTCTTGTCATTGTTTACATCCCAGTGCCTCTGAGAAACCCCAGCCCAGCTGAGGGCCCCACTGTGCTAGGACCTGTACAAACATGCCTGAGAGGCAGTCCCTCACCCAGAGAGCTCAGTGCAGTTAGCCACAAAAGGGAGGTGAAACTGAGGCTCAGAGAAGGGTGGTGACTTGGCCAACGGCCCACAGCACGGCAGTGGTAGAGTGGGGAGTTTCCTGGCTCCCCATCCACCAGCCACTCTGCCCTCCCATTGCTTTGTGGATGCAGCAGGGCCCTGATACAGCAAGGCTAGTCTACACTGGAGGGTTGTTGCGCCAGAAGTATGCAAATGAGGCTAAGCATGGAATATTGCCGAGCCTCATTTGCATACCTAATGAGCCGCCATTTTTGCGGAAGAGGCTCTTACGCTAGAAGGTTCTGTCTACACTGCCCCTCCTTGCGCAAGAAAAACCCTCTACGCTGATTTTTTCAGGAATAACGACATTGCGCAAGAGGGTTTTTCTTGCACAAGAAGTGGCAGTGTAGACAGACCCTTCTAGCGTAAGAGCCTCTTCCGCAAAAATGGCGGCTCATTAGGTATGCAAATGAGGCTCCGCAATATTCCATGCTTAGCCTCATTTGCATACTTCTGGCGCAACAACCCACCAGTGTAGACACAGCCCAGGTGAGAATGGCCCATCCCAGTCCAAGCCCATTCCACCGGGCCAAGAATGACTCTTCAGCACAAGCAGGGCTCAGACTGGCAGGGACAGGCCCATGGTAGCAGAGCCTGAAAAGTTGTCCCAGTCCGGGCAGAGTGTACGATGCTGCAGTGGGAGTCAGTGCACCTGTGGAGCTGGGAATGTGAGCTCTGGTTTCTGTGCCAACACCCAGCTCTGCTGCAAAGCCGCCATTTTGTGTCCCGTTTGGATGCAGCAGGTCATGGAAGACACACACACAGGCTATGTCTACACTCACGGCTTCTTGCGCAAGTAATATGCAAACGAGGCTAAGGGTGGAATATTGCCGAGCCTCATTTGCATACCTAATGAGCCACCTTTTTTTCAGAAGAGGCTCTTGTGCAAGAAGGAGCGTCTACACTGCCCCTTCTTGCGCAAGAAAAACCCGCTTGCGCAACGCTGATGCAGCACCTGTTCCCACCCCTGGCCTATGCCCACTCCCTTGGTGTTTATACCTTCACACTCAGCAGTGAGCAGGGCCCCCTTAGACAAGTCAGGTGGAAATAGCTCAGGCCCCGGGCAGGCAGCCCCGCAACAGCCCCAGTGATTTCAGTGGGGAGCTGGACGGGGCACGGATCACATAGCAGAAGCAGGGCCTTGATGTTTCCTCCCACAACGGCCCCTCCAGTGCCTCTGTTGGGACCTGCCAGGCCGTCTTGTCCCCAGTCTGTGCCAGCCACTGATCCCTACACCCTGACGGGGCAGCCGGGAAATGGGATCAGGGGCTGGAATCTCCCCCCGCCAGGTCTGGGAAGTTATCAGAGGGCTCAAGCACTCGGCCTCGCCTGCCATCGCTGGGTTTGTGACTGGCCCCTCTCCCAGTTCTGGCTCAGGCCG